AGCCTCCCCCACGCCCACCCTGGGTGCATGAACCGCCCGATGCAGAAGCTGCCGCATGTCACCCCCCCAAAGAAAAAGTGTCATGCCCCCTTCTACCCCACCCTCTCATTCCCCACCAAAATTAAAGTTTCCTTTTCATTTAAAAGCTGCGTTCTGTTTGTGTCCTGGGAAGGCCTCCTCGTTGGGGCCGGGGAGCTTAGGGGGTCGGGTCTTTTTAAGAGTAGGGGTCGGGTTAAAGTGGCATGGGTGTGCACTTTGGGGGCCCAGGCATCCCCTTGATCACCAGCTCCCACCCTGTGACTTGGGGTGAGTGCCTGCCTACACCCCTACCCTGAAAGTCTGAGGGCACTTGGGTGATGTGAGCTCCTGGGTGTGGGTGACTAGTCCCCAGGAGGAGTGGACCTGGGTCCCCGGTGTGTGCTCAGGGGCTGAGGGCGGTACACTCCATATTGCTGACGATGAAGCCAATCTGTGTGGATTCAGCTTCTTTGTAGCTGTGTGTCCTTGGGGAAGTCTTTCAACCTCTCTGGGCTTGTCTCATGACTAAAAGGTCAGGACCGGTGATCTAGTTATTCAGCAAACATGAAAGCCAACTAGGTGCCAGGGACTGTCCTAGGTGCTGGAAAGCAATGAGATCCCTGCCTTGAGCTGTTGTGCTGAGAATTCAGACAAGAAGTCCCATGTTCAGCACAGCTAAATAAACGCTCACAGACTCAAAAACTCACTGAAGACGTTGTTATGCAAAGACTGGAAGGTCAGCCATAGACCAGAGTACAGGTATCCCTTCTGCCACTCCTGGGTTAGAGTGAGGGGCATCGCAGCTCTGAGCTTGTCTCCTTATCAATATGATGGAGGCAGTACTTTGGAGAGGGCTGGGGTGAGGGGAAATGTCCAGTGTCCAGGAGGTGCGCCAACACTGGCCGGCTGTGATCAGAATCAGCAGGCTGCCCCGGCAGCCGGAAGGAATCAGTGCCCATCTGGACCCATGAGAGAACCCCCTGCTGGAACACACACCACCTCAGCGGAGTCCACCTGGGGCTGGGGTTTATTTGTCAGAGTTGGAGGCTGGAAACTCAGGGAGACTCCTCCAGCCCCCAAAGGGAGTCTAACCGAACTGTGATCACACAATAGCAACCAGAAGGGAGGGCAGAACATGGGAAGAGGGGGACCGGACAGGCCCCCTTATCCTGTCCCTCTGCAAGAATCAAAGGCTGGTGGAGTCCTGGGAGAGGGAGGAAGAAGGCCATGGGCAGCCCTAGCTGAGGAGAGCAGAGGAGCCATGCTCCCTCCCTAATAAAGACCATTAACACCTGAAGGAAGGATGGGAGCTGAATGGGACCACAGTGGGCCAATTACACCCGGATTTCCACTCCAGGGAGAGAGCCCCGTCCTTGCCTCCCTGCTCCCTGGCTCCTGAGTGCTCTACGTTTACGGAGGTCTCAGGGGGCCCTCTGGGGTGGGGTTGATAAGTGCTGTGGTGCCAGCAGGTGGTGCCATTTCCAAAGTGCAAGAAGCCACAGGGTGGGTTCATGGGACCAGCATCCACCAGGGAGGGAGGGGCTGATGGCTGGTAGCAGGGAGGGGTCACTGGGGCTGTGCTTCTGGGGACCCGTCAGGCTCCAGGGGCTGCTGTCCAGATCCAGGCTCGGCCTCCTCGGCCTCCTCGTCTGATGCCACACCCTCCTCCAGTCGGAACACCTGGCGCACGGTGCGGGTGGTGAAGGTGAGGGGTCCTCGTCTGTGAGGACATGGAGAGAGCAGGAGACAGAGATTAAATGAAGGGAGCAGAGAGAAAAGTGAGAGCTATAATAAAGTGAGAGGGGAGAGATGAGATGGGGAGAAATGGAGAGATGGGCGGAGGGCAAGGGTGGGGGCAGAGAAATGGGAGGACAGGAGAACAGAGATGAAGGTAGAGGGGCAGAACGATGGGGACAGAGAAACAAAGCTACGGAGGGACAGAGAGATGGGGGCAGGGGTTTGTGGGGTGAGGGTGTACATGTGCAAGTTGGCCATACCGGAGCCGGTTCCTCAATGTGGTCACTTCGCGGTTCATGGACTCAGCAGACTCTGTGACATCCTCCAGCTCCCGCTGCAGCCTTCGACGACCTGCCTGAGCCCTAGATGCCTCTTCCTCAGCCTCCTCTAGCTGTCGCTTCAGCTGCTTCACTCGAAGGTTCCCCTTTTCCAGCTTGGTGGGAGCAGGGAGGGTGAGTCATGCCTCTGGGTGCTGTTCTCACCCCTCATTCGTATCAATCAATCACCGCCCTATTCTTCTCTCTAGCCATACTGGTAATCTTTTTGCTCCCAATTCACCAAGCTTATCTTCATACCCCAGTGCCTTTGCACCTGCAGTTCCCTCTGCCTGACTCTTCCCCATCCTCCAGGTCTCAATTCAAATGTCACCTCCTAAGAAAGGATTCTCCAATCCCCTGTGTCTCCCTTGCTCTTCATTTCCTTTTTTCTTCATAGCCCTTGTCACAGTCTGTAATTATCTTTGTTTGCTTATTGGTTTCTTGTGTCTTTCTTTTCCTATCCTCAAAATGTGAACTCTGTGAAGGCAGAGACCTTCTCTGTCTCATTCACAGCCATATCTCCAATGCCTATCATAGTGCCCAGCACATAGTGGGTATTCAATAATTGTTTGTGGAATGAATGATGCATACAGCTGAGCTTCTAAGGGAACGGTGATGCTATCTAAAGTCAGACAAACCTGGGATCCGATCCAGGCTCTGTCTGTACTAACTGTGACTTTGGTGCAAATTATATCCCCTTCTAAAGTTTGTTTCCTCACCTGGGAAATCAGGCTGGCGAGAGAATGCAAGTATGTATTTTTTTTAAAAGCAGGTAGCACAGAGCTTGGGACTTGGTAACTGCTCAATAATTAAGAGCATAGGCTCTGCAGCCAGAGTGCTGGAGTTTGAACTCTGGCTCAATCTCTTTCTAGCTAAATAGTTTTGAGCAAATTACTTCACCTTTCTGTGCCTCAGTTTTCTCACCTGCATATGAGGGAAAATAACAGTACACTACCACAGTGTTCTGATACTCAGTAGACACTATGTGTTGTTATTTTAGCCCTGGTCTAGCCTCTCCTTGCCTGTCTCAGCTCCTAGAAAGTCCAGCTTTCCTAGATTCCAGAATTTATGGATCGCAAAGTCACTGATTCCAGCTCTCTACGACGGCACCACGCCCTGGGATGGTATCTGCACTCAATTCTAGTCCAGCAGCACCCACAAGTTGCCTCTTGTGATGGGAACTCCCTGCCTCTAGAGACAGCCTGTGCTATTTCTCTATCAGTGGTCCCACCCGCCCACTGCTCCCGAGTGACATAAGCAGCTTACCTGGTCCCTGAGCTGGTCGGCCACCCTCCGCTCCTCCTCCACCTGGAGCACCACCTCTTTAAGCCGCTTCTCAGCTCTGCGCACCAGCTTGCCAGAGAGGATGCGCTCCCTGAAGATAAGTGTGAAGGGGATAGTCAGGAGAGGTGCATCCTGGGGTTCTGTCCTCTGGCCACATCCAGTGGCTGCTGTCCTATTCTTGAACTGGCCTCTTCCTTCTTTCCCACCCCCGCAACTGACTCCCACAGTTCACACAGACATTGGCACCTAGGCTCCCCACTCCAGGGCACCTCTGTCCTTGGCTTCTACTAAGATGCCATGCCTGATGTTCTCAAAAGTGTCTCTATGTCCACCAGTTTTCCGTAGCCCACTAGGTCCCTCCCACTCAACTGTACTTCCCTTTGTTCTTCTTTCAGGGAACTGACGCACTGACCACCAGTCCCCAGATCAGACCACTGGGCACTGTCCTGTCTCCTTGTCACTTTTTGGGTCAGGGGACAGGCCTGGGCCTGAAAGGAGGGATGCATAGAGACTCAGTGATAAGGGGAACTCCTGAGTGTAGCTTGGGTGGGGAGTCCCATTAGGTTGTGATGTTCATGTCTCATTCTTCATCGTTTCCCCAGTGCCCAGGCATGGGAGGGTAAGCAGTACACTCTTAGTACATATTTGTTGAATGAATGAATGCAAGATGGAACCTTATATACTTTTTGGTATAGAACAAAACTCTTCTCCACCAGACCATGGTAAGAAACTGAATTACAGGTCAGTCATCCAAGATTTATAACCCATTTTTGCCCAAGATTTTCTATATATAAAACAGGGATAAATGGCCCTTCTCTCACAAGGATTGTGTGATTCATACATGTATATACAACTAGTTCAGTGTTTGACATAGAGTCAATCCTCAATAAATGGAAACTTTTCTTATTGTTACTGAATAGCACTGAGTGTAGAAAAGTCTACTGCATTGGAATAGTGAACCTTATAAGGATTAGTAATAAGTAGTCTGTTTGTTTTATTAGCACAGTGGTTCTTAACTGGGCACATTGGCAGGTGTTCCTGGTTCTTCCAAAGACTGAAAATGGAAACTCTCTCAGCCCCACACAGCTACTGTTTCCTGGCTTTGACCATTGATATATGGGTGTGATGTTTGGTTTGGTGCAGCCATTCTGTGACCATGAGAGAAAGACCAAGGGAACGACACAGACAGTGATCCTGCCATCTTTCAGCCGCCCACCTCCTTACCATGTGAGAAAAAGAAATCCTTTGTAATAAACTGATGACAGAAATGGCCTCAACTGTCACCCCTTTCTGTATCCACACCCTTTGCAATATGACTTTGCAGCTGCTCCCATCAAGAGGTTGAGTCCATTTCTCCATTCCATTAAATCTGAGTTGGCCATATGACATGCTTTAGAAACAGGATGCAGCAGAAGTGACATTATACCAGTTTCAAGTCTTGGCCCCAAGAAGCCTTTAACACTTTCCCTCACTCTTAGAACCTTGAGTCTGCCATGTAAACAATCTAGGGCCAGCCTGGAGCAAAGAGACAAATTAGCCTAGTTGTCCCAGGTGAGACCTTGGACATAGGAGAGCCCAGTCAAGATCAGCAAAGCAATCTAGCTGACCCTCAGGTGAGCAAAGATGCATGAGTGAGACCCCCTAGGATCAGATCAGCAGACCCTACCAGCTAGGCCAAAGACTCATGAGCAACAAAAAATAGTTGTTGTTTTAAGCCACTGAGTTTTAGGATATTTGTTATGCAGCTATAGCTAACTCCTACATTGCTGTTTAAATCATACTTGTAGTGGAAATGCAGGTATTTGCAGCCCAAAGCATCTTAAATGATACAGGAAATCAGCAACTATTAATATTACGATGCCTTTGAGATGTTTCTAAGCCAGGTGTTTGCAATACAACTCCCCTTCATCTCATTGACCAGAATGCGTGGGTCAACTTCCAGCCATGGCCCCCTCTCCCACCTACCTGCTCTCCTGCTCCAGCTGCTCCTCAGCCTGGGCCAGCTTCGACTCAAGGGCAGCAATGGTCATCTTCTGGCGGGCCCGGGCCCCAGCGTCCTCCTCGCCCAGGCGCCCCCGGAGCTCTTGGATCTGCCGCTCCAGTTGCTGCCGGCCACTCTCTGCCTTGGCTGAGAAACTGCGCTCAGCTGACAACTCTGTGGTCAGTGATTCCACCTGTAGCAGTGGGAGAGGCGGGATAGCATGGTGGAGTCTCAGAGGGAAGGGGGTAGGCGAATCCAGGCACCTGCCGCAAGGCCTGATACACACTAAATACTCAACACATGTGAACGCGTACTTGCCCAGGTTGACTTATCAGCCAACAGCACTACCGGCCTTGGGTTTTAACCTTTTGGATAGGTTTTTGCTACTTTTTTAAACATTTGTATTTATTAATTTGAGAGAGAAAGAGAAAGGCTGATTTGTTGGAGGTTTCGGCCCGGGGCCCGGGCGGCGGCCGGCTCTGCTCACCTGCAGGAGCAGCTTGCGGTAGCGGTCGCCGAGCAGCTCCGCGTTGCTCTGCTCCTCCTCCAGCTCCTCTTCCATCTGGCCCAGGCGCCCCTCCAGCTGGCGCTTCTCGTCCAGGATGGCTGCCCTAGGAGGGTGTGACCGCCGCGGGGTGAGAGGGCCGCATGGCCAGAGCGGGGCACCGTGCCCGCCTCCCCACAGGCCACTCACTTGCTCAGGCTGCCGTTGGCCACCTCATCGGCCATCTCGTCCCGTTCCTGCTGGGCCTGCCGCCGGGCGCGGTCTGAAGCGGCCAGCTCCTGCGGTGACAGAGGGAGGGGCGGTCAGCGGGGCGCGGGAAGGCCATCTGGGCATTGGCCTCCTGCCTCTCACACCTCGGCCTTTTATTTCACTGCACATGAGCGTGCTGGCGCTGGGGGACTGGGTGAGCGCGTCAATCGAGGGGCAGCAGTCTCCTCAATCCGCCTCCTGAGCCCCTGGCCGCTGTCTGCCTGCTGCTGCCAGTCCCCAGGCCCCTCACCCTCACCCTCACCCTCACCCTCACCCTCACCCTCACCCTCACCCTCACCCCTTCCTCACTGAGCTCCTGTCTCCTTTCAAACCTGATCCCCCTCCAGACTCCCCAGGTGCCAGCCAGATCCTCCTCGTCTCTTCCGACCCCTTGCCACCCACAGCCCTGCCCATCCTGCCCCTTTTTCTCTGCCTTGTCCCTTCCTCTGGGTCCCCATGGCCCAGATTCAGGGCCCATCCTCTCTCCCCAGCCTCCCCACCCTGACTCCTTCACTCCTGCCCATCCTTCCCAAGGCCCCGGAGCAGACTCTCCCCCTCTCCTGCTCAGGGCCCCCTAATGCCCCCTGGCCCGGCGTAGTTGGTCCCTTCACCCATTTCCCAACTTCCCGCCCTCACCCCCACTTCCACCCAGGACCCGCCCATCCTGGCTTCACCTCCTGCAGCCGCAGCACCTCTGCCTCAAGCCCTTTGAGGCGCTTGTCACTCTCCCGGTTCTGGGCAAAGATCTCCTCCCGGGAGGTGCGTGACTCCTCCACCTCCCGCCACAGCTCCTTCATCTGGGCCTGAGCAGACAGAATGGAGGATTAGAGTGGTAGCTGGCAGAGCCGGGACCTGAACCCGGGCCGTCCAACTCCGGGGCTTACACTCGAGCGCTTCTGCTGCCTGGCTACACTGCTTTGAGTGTGTAAAGATCCCGGCATAAGGGTTTCTCTTCAGGGGTGCTTCAAATAACCGAGGAGTGCATAACTGTTAGTGAGGACAGCGGCGGGCTTGAGGGTAGGAGGACAGGTATCACTTATTAATATTCCTTGCTTGATAATAATAGCTTTTCAGTGCAGGGATTTTCTCTCAGTGACGACACAGTGGCAATTTTTACTTTCTGGGAGGGATCTTTCTGTCCCAGTGCTGCCCGACAGAAATATACTGCAAGGACATAAGCTGTTTCACATTTTCCAGTAGCCACATTAAAAAGGTGAAAAGAGCCCGGCAGGGCGTGGCTCGGCGGTTGGCGTCAACCTAGAATCCAGGTGATCAGGGTTCGAGTCCCAGTCAGGGTACATGCACAGGTTTCGGGCTCGATCCCCAGTAGGGGGCGTGCAGGAGGCAGCCATTCAATGTTTCTATCTTTCCCTCTCCTTTCCTCTCTCTAAAAATCAATAATAACATGTTTTGAAAAAAGTGAAATTGGTTTGAACACTAAACTAATATATCCAAAATATTATTTCCATTTATAATAGTATAAAAACTATTGAGATATTTTACCTTTTTTTTTTTTGTACAAAGTCTTTAGAATGCAGTATGTAATTAGGATTTTGGACCCACCACATTATAGATGCTCAATAGCCACGTGGGGCTGGTACCTACTGTATTGGACAGCCCAGTTCTATACTTAAAAATAAAATAGACTTGGTGCCCTGCTGGGCGGCTCAGTTGGTTGGAGCATCATCAAAAGGTTCGATTCCTGGTCAGGGCACATACCTAGGTTGCAGGTTTGATCCCCGGTTGGGGCACACACGGGAGGCAACTGATCAATGTATCTCTCTCACATCGATGTTTCTCTTTCTGTCTCTCTGTCTCCCTTCCTCTCTCTAAAAATCAATAAAAACATATTCTTGGGCAAGGACTTAAAAAAATTTAAAAAATATATACTTGGCTTTTTGGAGCAGTTTTAGGTTGAAGGTATGGGGGTTTTCCAGATACTCCCTCCTCCCAGGCACAGCCTCCCTCGTATCAATGCCCTTTATACATCATTATCAAAAATAATTTTTTTCTAAACAACCAAGTATAACTTTCATAATGGGGGTGGGGGGAACCCTAAGGTATTTCCATTTCAAAAATTAAATAAAATGGGACAATTGGACTTAAAAATTAAGCATTTTAAATAAAGGCAATAAAAATATAAAAAGAACAAAGTGAGCTTTTGGGGTGCGGATGCTTATAAGGGCCGTGAAGAGCCTGGGTGCTGCTGGTGGGGTTTAGGGAGCGGTCCACGCTGGTCTCGCCGGAGCGGTGGTGGCGCCACCCACTCCCTGCAGCCCCGCCCCCGGCCGGCTGCGACCCCGCCCCTTACCTGCATCTTGCGAAGCTGCTTCACCGCCTCCTCCTTGCCCTGCCCCGCCGCCGAGGTCTGAGCCTTCAGCTCCTCCAGCTCCGCCTCCAGCTTCTTGCGGGCGGCCACCGCCAGGGCGCGCTGTTTGCGCTCCTCGTCTCGCTCCAACTCTGCATCCCGCAGCTGGGGGGTGGGGGTGGCTGGAAGCGTGGGCTCAGGGCACAGGATGCCCACGCTCCACATGCCCCTAACATAGATGTCCACTGTCCAGCCCCTGCCCTGGCCTGCAGCCCGGTTCCTCCTGCCCCGGCCTCTCCCCATTTTCCAGTAGCCATGTCCTCCCCTCTGCTCCCATCTGCCCCCTCCAGCCCTTTCCAGCAGGGCTCCAGGAGGGTCTCTCTATACTCAGAGTTGACCCTGCCCCTCCCCTGCTCACGGCCCTCCCGTGGCTCCCCAGTGCTCCCCAGGGAAAAGTCTTGGGCCTTCACCCATGGCCGGATCAGGGAAGATAAAAAACACCCAGAAACCCTCAGCCTAGGTCACAGGTTCCATTTCTCCTTCCAGGCCTCCCAGCTCCAGTCTGCTGCCCACGTGGCCCTAGAGGGGCTTTCTGACACTCAGAGCTGACCCTCCCCTCTTTTGCTCAGTACCCATCACCTAGTACAGGGCCTTGCCCGCTACAGGACTGAGGAGCAATGAATGGATGGTGCAAAGAGGGAGCTCGATGAGACAGAGGAGGAAGCAGGTGAACCAGTAGGTGAATGAGGGAGTGAGGTTGTGGATGAGGGGTGTGGACAGCTGGGCAGTGAGTATGTGATGAGTGCCGGGAGGTGGGGGTGCTGTGGGCTAGGGTTATGGTGGGGAATGGGTTGGGGAAGAGGAGACTGGTGGGCTAGCAGACAGGACTTGGGTAGAAACACTAGGGAGCAGGTGGGTGGGTGGGACTTCCTGCACTCCTGCTGTCTATAAGCCCCAAGGCACAGCCAGCTGGACAGACACCCTGCGGCCTCCCGCGTGGTACCTGCTTGGCCAGCTGCCGCCGCCTCTCCTCCCCAGCCTCATCTCGGCCCTGCAGGTCTCGCTCGTGCTGTGCCTTGAGGGCCTGCACGGTCACTTCCAGGCGCAGCTTGGCATCCTCGGCTGATGTCAGCTCATCCTCCAGCTCTGTCACCTGAGTCCGCAGGTCATTGGCTGCCTGTTCTGCCACCCGGCGGGCTCGCTCCAGCTCATGTACCTAGTGGGGAGGGAGAGTGAACACAGGGTACTGGGGTCACTAGGGAGGGGGCAGGCCAGGATCCTGGATTTATCCTGAGAGTGAGGGGACCCCAAGTCTATGTACCCATCCTAGTTCATTCATTCATTCACTCATTCAACATTTCCTAAGCACCTACTTACTATGTCTCATTCTAAATCATTCTAAAACATTTTATGAAGAACCTAAGCATGACAATTCTATTATCTGAAGCCCTTAAGAGTCCAACTCAAGTGTCTTGTAGGTCAGCTGACTCTCACTTATGGTGGATTATTTCCTCATGGGATTTGTGATTTTGGATTGTGAACTCACTTCACTGTGTGAGCTCATCTTTGGGATTCCTGTGTGGAAATGGGTTGAAGATGTGTAACTCCAGACTCGCCAGGATATATCAACTTGGGGGTTCCCAGACATTTCAGGGAGGCATGAATTATTTAAAAACCCCAAACACACTGTGAAATGGGTCTGGGCTTAGGAATTCTCAGAGACCCCTCGTCGCACCTCTCTTTAATTATCACCTCCTCAGAGAAGTGTCCCTTGACCTGTCAGGGCCTCCCTATTACCCACACTCTTGGCACTGAGCCCCTCTTCAACTCAGCCCTAATCACAAGGGTCATTTAACATGTGTTTAATTGTCTTTTTATGCAACACCCACCCTCTACACTGGACCGTGGTTCTACAGGGCAGGGACTATGTCTGCGTGTGACCACTGCTCAATAACCCTCATGGATGTATGAATTAGGGGAAGACAGGCCTGGTGGGGAAGGCCTGCGTGGGCTTGGGTGAGGAGGGAGGGTGTCTCCTCACACTGTGTGTGTGTATGTGTGCACATACTCACATCTGGGGAGTGGTTCTCAGCCTGTATGTGGTGGTAAATTCTCTTCATGTTTTCTGTCTTTGAGTATTATTCACACACATGCGTGATGGTGATTCCCATACTCTGTGTGTACATGTGAACATGTGTGTTTAATGGAAGAGTCTCCTCACATTCCATGGATATACACTTGAACATGTATGTTTCACGAGCAGCTCTCATGTTTTGCGTGTGAAGGTGTGTACTTGATGAAAGATTCTCCTCATGGTCTGTATGTGTATGTGAGCACCTGTGTTTGGTCGGTAGCTCTGTCCCTGTTCTGTGCGCCTGCATGAACCTGTGACTTGGATGACTGGATCTCTTCTTGTTCTGCATGTGAAAGCACACATGTGTGCATGAAGTTGTCGCATGGGTCTCAGGGTGAGGATCCCACTCACGCTCTTGCCGACATCATCCTTGCTGCTCAGCAGCGCCTCCAGCTCTGCCCGCAGGGCGCGGTTCTGCCGCTCCAGCTCCTCACGGGCCTCTTGCTCCTCCTCCAGCGCCCGGGTCAGTGACAGGGCCCGAGCCTCGCGCTCCCGGCCCTCGGCCTCAACCCGCTCACGTTCCTCCACTGCCCGCAGCACAGCTGCCTTCTCCTCTGCCAGGAGCTTCCGGGTTGAGGGAGATGGGGTAGGGGAAACAGATTAGCTGAAAGGAGTGTACAAGGGGATGGGGAAGAGGGAGCAGCCAGGGACAGAAAGAGAGAGACAGACAGACAGAGGCAGAGACACAAGAGGGAGGTAAAGGGATTAAAGTCGTAACTGTGTCCTAAGCCAGCTCAGCTCTTCAATGGATCAAACTCATCAGTGTCTTGCTTTACATACTGAACAGAGGAAAGGGTGTTTCTTCCTCTTGGGGAAGTGGTAGGAAAAAACCATCAACCTTTACTGCTTTTTAAGACACAGTAATTAAAAATAATAAAACTTACAATACAGGCAAAGAAAGGGACTCAGAGTGAGACTCAGTCAAGAGAAAACAAAAAAAACAGATCCACAGATGACCTAGATAGTATCACACAAGGGCTATGATAAGCAAGTTTCAGGACAAGATGGATACAACAGGTGAAGAGATGGGGTTATTTCAGGAGGGATTAGAAACGGTAAAACAGAAGTAAAAAATATGATTTCTGAACTCCAAACATTGCTGGATGAAATTGAGGGCAGATTAGACACAGAAGAATTAGTACACTTGAAAACAGGTAAATAGAAATGATCTAAATAGAGCAGAGAAAGAAAAAAATTGTAAAAAAATTAACAGAGCTTGAATAACCCACGAGACAGCACCAGGCAGTCAAACATACATGCGTTTGGAGCCCCAGAGGAAGTGGGAGAAACCCTAATGGGATCTATAAAAAATCTACCAGCACTAATAAGTGAATTTAGCTAGACTGTAGAAAACAACATCAATATACAGCCTGGTCAGTGTGGGTTAGTTGGTTGAGCATCATCCCATGAACCAGGAGGTCAGGGTTCAATTCCTGGTCCTGTGCCCTGGTTGCAGGCTCAATCCCCAAGGAAGCAGCCAACCGATGTTTCTCTCTCTTCCTCTCTCTCTAAAATCAGTAAAAACTTATTTTAAAAAATAATAATCTACTCTTACATTTAAAAACAACAAAAAATAGAGATACAAAAAAATTAATAGTGCCTTGATGATCTACAGGACAGCATTAAGCAGTCACACATAATGGTATTTGGAGTCTGAGAAGAAGGGGAAAGAGGGAATATGGGGCATAAAAACATTTAAAGAAATAATGGCTAAAAATTTCCACTTTTGATAAAAAACGCCAACCCAGGAAGCCTGGCAAACCCAAAGCAGGATACATACATGACCCACAATTGCAGTGCTAAAAACCAAAGAGAAAGAGAGAAAACTTAAACCAGCTAGAGAAACACATCACATGACCCACAGGGAAACAATGATTTCAATGTCTGCTAACCTTTCATCTGAAACAATGGAGGCCAGAGATAATGGAATGATCTCTTCCAAGTGATGAAAGAATAAAACGGTTTACCTAGAATTCTTTATCCAGTGAAAGTATCTTTCAAAAATGAAGGCAATATAATGATGCCTCCATTTTCTAGATTAAAAAAAGAGGCACAAAGAGGGTGTAGCAATTTGCCCAAGCCACACAGCCAGAAAGGGACTGAGCTGGGATTTGAAATGCTGGGTTGCTCTGGGGTTCTGTGATCTTTATTTCATCCTCAGATTGCCAGATGCTTAACATTATCCCCATTTCCTAGATGGGCACACCGAGGCTGAAATGGGAAAAGCAGCTTGCCCGAGGCACACAGTGAGCCATCAGGAGAAGCAAGGTGTGTTATTTCCTTTAATCCTGCACCTTCAGGACTCGTTTGGGAGTAAAAGGGGTTGCTACTGATAGATATTCTGGGACAAGAGACATCAGGCAGGTTGGATGGGTGCCTTATTTTATAGACTCAGAGGGAAGATGCAGCTTGCCCTAGGGTTCCCCAAGTTCATAGTGGAGCTGTGACATCACACATTGCTCACTGCCCACAATGACCACGGGAAGCACAGATTAGCATCCCGATGTCTCCGTGGGGTAACCGAGGTGGCCCACCTGGTCGAATTTGCGCTGCTTCTTCTCCAGTGTGCTCACGAGCTGCCGCTGTTGCTCCAGGTCCATGGTAGCATCGTCCAGCTCCTGCTGCAGCCGCCGGCGGCCCCTCTCCAGCCGCTCCACCACTTCCGTCTTTTCTGTCAGGCGCTGCATCAGGACCTCAGCCTCGCGGGCTGCCCGGCGACGAGCTTCCTCCCCTGCCTCCAGTGCTCCAGCCTCCTCCTCCTGGCGCCTCCGCCACTCTGAGAGCTGGGGGGAGGAGAGAGAGGGTGGGTGGCAGTCAGGGCTGTGACCAAGGTGTGAGCTGGTAGGACCCCATTTCCCAGATGAGGAGACTGAGGCCTGAAGAGGAAAATGACTCACTGCACTGGGCTCTCCTGCTTCAGAGTAACATTGAGGTTGTGAGTTATATGAGCCCCAGCTTCTCCGGGAGATTAATATTATTCCCACTGGAACCCAGAAGGTGAATCAGACCCTGACTCTGCCCTGTGGAACCCCTAGTCTGAAGGAGAGAAGTGAGCATCACAGCCAGGGTGATGGAGGTAGAAGTATGGGAGCCATGGGAGTCTTCAGGAGGGGTTCAGAATCTGTTTAGAACATTTAAGGGAGACTTACTGGAAGAGGGGGCATTTGAGATGGATCTTAAAGTAGGCATAGGAGTTTGCCAGTTGAAGAAGGATATTTGCAGGCATGCATTCAATACTCATTCATTCAACAGGCATTTCTCAAGGTCTCCCAGAAATCAGGCTCTAGGTCGGCCTATATTGGGGACCAGATCTAACTCATGGTCCCACTTAAAGGAACTCCCCATTTGGTGGGGGGACTCACAGGCAAGAGAGTGTTCCAGCCCAGGAAGATTGAAGTGGGACAGGGGAGAAAGAAGGGTTGTGGGAGCTCAGAGGAGGGTGGCCAGGGAATTCCCACATAAGGGAGTGCTGATGCTGAGTTCTGAAGAATGAAAAAGCGTTTCCCAAGTGAAGTGGGGAAGGAGAGATAAGGGATGAATACAGCTAAAGACGAAGGAAGGACAAGAGAATGCAGTGCCTCCGACACCCAGCTGAGAGGCATGAGCTTTCTCCAGGAGGAGCTGGGGACCCATGGGAGGGCTGTGAACAAGGGAAGGGCAGGGTCAGCTCGGGGGGCAGAGAGACCATGTGGAGAATGGGCCAGAAGAAGAGAGACTGGAGGCAGGGAGGCTTGAAGGGAGGCTGAGATGAGGATCCAGGTGGCAGAGGAGGAGGCCTGAGCAGGGCTGGGGCTGTGTGGATGCAAAACAGGGGATAAGCCAGAAAGTCAGGGCTCTGCACTGAGGCTGTGGGGCCTCAGTGACGGGCGAGACTGGCACCCAGAAGTCTGGGCTATGACTGGTTGGGCAATGGGGCTGTCTCTGAGCCAGGGAACCAGGAAGAGCAGGTTGGGGACTAAGTGTCTCCTTGAGGTCTCCCTCCAGGACTGCTCACCTGCACCTGGGCGGTCTGCAGCTCACGGCCTGCCCGCTCCCTGGCGGCCGCCTCCTCCTCCAACTGCTCCCGCAGCCCCGCCACCTCCGCCTCCAAGGCTCGCGCCCGGGACCCCAAGGCCAGCTTCGTCCTGGTTTCCTCCTGCAGCAGCTCCTGCAGATGGAGGGGAGAATGGATGTCAGGTGTGGG